AYAGCTGATTTTAACACCTGAAACAGGKGCASATCMAGGCTCTCAGGAGRGKTTGCACCCCACAAAAATCATTACCATGAAGATWCAAAAWWAAGAAAGTATTGAAGGAWAYAGATCTCAGGAGGGGGTGCRCACCCCCTGCAYCCATCAGCTGGATCCACCCCTGTTRAAAAAGGTAAAGATAACCATCCCTGACCTATTTCACAGGAATTATCATCAATCTTTATGGAGAGAAAAGCATTCAGGTTATATAATGTCCATTACTTTATTCATATTATTATTACATTATATRAAATATAACAATATGCAACAGTATTTTCATGTACTATTAGTCTATCTTCTTTTCTGTGAAAATGCTTATTTTTCATAAAATATTTCAGGCTTTTAGTTCACAATATTGTCTATTTTGATTTCTCTGAAATATCCTGGTCTTGCTTTTCTTTCCATAGCTCTCTTACGAACCTAAAGGTTSAAAAAATAAGCATAATAGCAACCATTRAATTTCAATACAACTTTTATTTGAACACAAGATAATCTAAGCTTAAACACAAGAATGTGGCCAAGAAATATTCCTAAACTCACCAGTTTACAGATAAAAGTAGCCCCGAGCTTAATGAAAGYAGCACAAATATGTGTATGTTAAATCCAGCAATGAGAATCAGTCCAAATCCAACGAGAATCAAGCAAACAAAAGTGATATTGACCACTGTAAGTAGTTGAGAGTTCACACCTGGTTCAAAGATTGACTGTACAACGGCTTCYAACATTCTTGTTACTTGTCAMTCTTTAAAGTTCACTTCAGAATAAAATCAGGTGTCTTCGATAATATTAGAAGTTAAGACTTCATTTTTTGCTGTATTAGTCCAGTATTTCTCTCTTTAGCAACRGCAAGGGGAATCCTTTTTTTTAGACAACAAAAACAACCAGGCGTCACTGACAGTCGTCCAGGTCTTTTCACTACTTGCAAGRCACAGGAATYCCAYGCCAMAATCAATACCTTTAAGTATTGAAGCTCAAAATGTGGTCAAATGTAATTTAACCAAGTTTAGACTCAAAGCTATTGATAGTCTCTTAATTAGCGACCATCGAATTCACTACAGGTGTTGATAAGCAGGGATCATTAGACGTGACGATCATTATTGCTGGCTTGCTTGCAACTGAAATACATACCAGGGATATACGATAAAACCTAAAATATTACTTGAAAGTTAGGGGGTCGACTTATACGCGGTGAAATACAGTAATCGCAATCGCAAAATACTTGATTCCCATCCCTCAGCACCCTAGTAATAAGGTAAGTATAGGTAAGTATTCCACTGGTTGGTCACGGCCAGTGTCACAGATGCAAGGCAGGGATGTGACTTGGTTTCCATGGTAACCCGCTGCTCGAGCCTCGAACCCTACCCCCCACCGTACATGCACCTAACACCAAGCTCATCATTAGTGATGAGTTTACACAGAATAAATATGTACAATATAGCAGTGAATGGTCCCTTTATTTTCTGTTTCAGATTACTAACAATCTCAGTATTGTATGAAGCAATACACAATGAGCTGCCTCACCTGTAAAGGCTACAAACTTAGGGAAGCATTTTTAATCAAGATCCATGAAAACTTGCACAATATCCCATATGCTTTAAAGGGACACTGTCAATGGTTGACATGCCCAGTAACAGTCTTGCCTCTAACGGACTTTGAAAGTATTACCTTCGAGGTAAATCAATGTTTTGACACACTTTGGAATATTCTAGATCTGTTTAAATTTACGAGTACTTTTTTTGTCATGCGTCGCGCCAACTTGGAGTTGCAAACCTGAAAACATTAGCCTGATCTTTTCAAGTTTACTCGCGTATGTGTGCCATTGACAGTGTCCCTTTAAAATCTTTTGGACCTAAAGAAGCTAATCATTTTAAAGCTAAWATGACAATTTATTGTACAGAGGTACATCAATAATACAACTACCAAGGTAAGAACATTGAACATATATRGAGGCTTACATAGCAGGGTTGGTTGCAAGGGTTTGCGAATGGTTTCAATGTATTTGGTAATTGTTTTCAATATGACGGCAATGGTGTTTGACGACCCAGCTTTTCAGACACACCAACATCAATAGTAAGATCAAGCTCACATCCAAAAATCTCCTTCAATTCACTAGAAACTTCATCTTTTAAAATGCCAAACTTTTCAATGACGCACCGTCTTTGGCTGTTCTTACGGCAGTACAGCTTTTGATGAACTCGTAGAATTTCTTGAGGCCTCATCTCACAGATCACATTCACCTGAAACACACAAGAAATTATGTGAAAAAATCTTTATATTTAATTCAGCTATTTTTTAGTTCTCTAATATTTAGWTGCAATACTTGCCTGCTTGATTTGAAAAGGTATTTCATGTTCATATATTTCTAATAACTTCTCCCTGAACACCTCAGCAATCCTTTGTTCTAGTGAAAGATCACAGATTGAATCAGGGGGGATCATCCACTCTCCTGGTTTAGCTTTAAGTGCCAAATATTTCTTGATATCCTCTGTGCCATCRCCTTCTTTTGCTGATACCATAAAGGTACGCTCAAAGTTGCCCCACCCTCCAGTTTGTTGATATCCCCACGAATCCTTCAATCGGTCYTCAGACAGTATTGCTGCTAAACCCAGAAGATTTGTCTTATGCGTTAATCTGTCAATCTTATTCAAGACTAACAGTGATGGGATGTCTCTATGTCTATCTAAGGCTTCTATCACTACCGCATGGAGTCTGTTCCGTATACGCTTGTCAGAGCTGTCGCTAACTACACATATGACGTCGGCTAGTTGCAAGGCATRCTCAGGYGCAGTTATGTGTTCACGTGACATYTTGAGACGTCTTCCTTCTGAATGAGTGACCAAACCTGGTGTGTCTAWTAGTACAACCTGGGCACTATCAATTGAAAATGCTGCTTGGCTTCCCTGTCTCGTGGTATGMGGTCTMTTCGTGACGGCAAAGACTTTTTCACCGACAAGAGAATTGATAAGAGTTGATTTTCCGCTGTTTGGTTCCCCAATTATAGCCACTTTAAGAAGTCTTTGATTTCTGATTTTATTCTGGTTTTCTGAACAATCATCGATGTCATTTTTTTTGCTGAAATCGCCAAATGATCTAGAGCTGATGCCTACACGAAGCTGTGAATAAGCAAAAGAACATTTCCCCTTCAGCTTCCAAGCTTGTAACCAAGTACAGCGACCACGAAATGATATTTTCGCGTTGAATGCTGCAGCCATGCTGCTCACTGCTCACTCTGATCGATATGTAGTACCCAGGGCAACGCGTGCAAACGGAAGTTATTTCTTAAAAAGTAAATTTTAAATTAACTCTAGAATTCCAAATCTTTCAAGATTATTCTCATCTATTGTCATGATATGCTTTCAATACGAATTTCCAAAAGACTATTTTTAACCAATGATGCTTTGATGAAGGGTTGAAAAGGGAGTTGCATGTAAGCTATGTCTGGGATCCCTGTGTTTGGGCAGCAAACTTTGGAACCCGGTCGTCTCTTGAAACCAAAGAGATGTGAATTGCATGAGGTTGTTTTGAGAAATAGTTTCCTTTGTAAACTGACWGACACTACTATGAATAGCTCATGAGCCACAATGAGTTTGAATAAAATCGCAGTTAGAACSAACAAAGGTGAATATGTTGGCGGAGAAAAGRTTTACGGGTAAGMAACATATTTTGATAAACAATTTCAACTTATAAATGGTTTAACTTAATTCTGTTATTTTAAGCATATTTTTGCTGCAATTCATAAATTTTAATTTATTAAAATGTTGAATAATTGATTGTTATTAGCACAGTCAGAGTCAAGATCATATGTATAAACTTATTAATCTTAAATAAATTTGTATGTCATTTTGTATGCCATCCATGCTGTACTGCATGTGTTAATTTCTGAAATGTATTTGAAGTGATTCAAATTTCAAACCAACTAGTTTAAACATGGCACATGCACAGCTCAACGTGTGAATCAACATATGTTTCATGCGACAGCAGCAATTGTGACAATAATGCTTTCCAGGTGTGATGTGTTTTTTTTTACAACTAAAAATTGTTTTGAATGATTATTCTATCACAGCGCTGTCTATTTATGGATATGCAGTACAGAGGCATGCCGTGCAGTCAAACTCAAGTTCAAAGGAACTGAAAAATGTATGTTTTAATGTATTACAATGCATCTGCAATGAAAATCAGGCTCCTTTGCATACTGTTCCTGGTGATTTCAAAACGTTTTGTTGAATGCCATCCACAGTCTGCTGCATTGACTGGCTGAATCCTTTCCCTTTTGTTTAATAAATCCAATTATGGAAATGATATACTGATCTATCTTAATTTTCACACCAAGTTGTTTAAACCTAAAACGCTCTTCAAAGTCAAAGTCAATCTTKAACATTTTAGAAGGGTAACCTTGATTGGCTAAGAGAGATAAATGAGTCCAGTAGTGAATGGAGCAGGCTGCATAAAAATTCATTTTTCAATGGAGTAAGTTCTCTTTTAGGTGAGTGGGAATATAGAGATGTAGTTGAACAAAATGGGAGACTTGAAGAAATTGTTCTAAAGAAATCATACMGAAAGGACAAATTTAGGGCTGAGGGGCGCCTTGTGGAATACGAAGGTAGTGACTAATAGTCATCATCATTCCTGTTACGCCTAGGTGGCATGTAGGGCCGCTACTAAGAATTTCAAATTCCAATTGGCTCTGGCAGTGTGCTTGGGGCCAGCAACCCCATCACACTTACTTATTGCTACGGAAACCAATACTAAGAATAAGTGACTAATAGTACTAACATTATATTTTATTATAATATTGATTAAAATTGCACGTGCATTGATAATATCACTTTGTTTATCAAATTAATTTTGTGTATTGCTTCCATTCAGATGGCATACCAATGGGCTGCTATGCATATCCATTTATCTATTCATTACAACAAGATCTTCCAGGTATGTGAATATCGTATACTTGATGCCATTCCATTTTTTATCTACTTTTTTAATACTGACTCACTTTTTTCTTTACTCTAAATKTCATTTTTTCTTTTCTTTAATCTCTTATTTCCTGTTACTGTCACTAAGATAATTTCTCAGTCTACTGCATATAACAATATCAAAATATGTTTTGTGTTCTCAGCTCTTTTCTTTTCATCTTTCAATCTCTTTTTTTTCCTATTCCTATTTTACTTTCACATCCTTTTCTTTTTCATGTCAATTTTCTCCTCTCTTTTATTCTCTTCCTAGTAACTCTTTCCTTGTTAAGATTCCTTTCTCTTTGATTAATAAGTAATGCATGATCTTTCATGCAGCATCATTCAAAGATAGTGGTTTCCATGGCATCAACAAAACCGATAAATGGGAAGGTGAAATCCAGTACACTGTTTCAGCTGAAGTTGAAATGCTTCAAGGATCTGAAAGTGTATTACAGGTAATRCTTCACTTATCAGACTTGAGGGAGAAAACCAGAAAAAAGGTTTATTTGTGACTGACATTTTGATATCTACCACTCAGGATGTACAGCCCATAATAATCAACAAGAGCCTACCTTTAACTGAAGTCCAGGGTGAGACTTTCTCAGACAAGACAACAATCAAAATTTGTTGTTGTATACCTAGAGGAGATGTTTCCATTTCTGCCTGGTAAATTTATTTCTCACTTYCTAGTCCCTATGCATTATTTTAATGTCCCTTTTGCAATCTGTTTACATATAAAGATAAATGTGGTTGAATAGATAAATCTGAAGCTTGTTGTTTTGTACATGTTCCGACTAAAATTACTGCTTAATAAATAGATAAATGACAKAATCAAATTGCCACCAAGGAAAAGTAAATGGATACAATGACAAATATATCCCAATAAATAAATGAATGGATATAAAAGGTGGAAGGGTTTGAATGAGYTCRATAGGTGGATCAAGAAATAATTTGCTTTGTGCAAATGAAGGAAGGGTTATACATGAATAAGTGGAACAGTTCAATTATTGAATTTTAAAGTATATGATAATTGTATACTCTGTATTGCATCTGACTACTGGTAATCTCATAACCATAGCAGCTTAACCCAGGCAATATATGATTTCAATCAACATTATGATATCACTGTAGCTTAGATAAAAAGGCTTACACATCTGGAGAAACTGCCCAGTTACATGTCGACACAAAGAACACCTCTAGTGTTGATATCAACTCATTTGTTGTCAAGGTAAGTTGGTCTTCGGCACTTCCAACAATCAAATGAACTGAAGCAATGAATTGCTGTCCAAACTTCCCTGTCAAACATGAATACACTTCAAACATTCATGGACAATATTCATGGAATATTTTTTGAGGTATGCATAATGGAGTTTTGAAAGCAGTCTGGGGCAAAAAGCACCAAATATCAGTTAACAATTGGATTATTTATGGGAGTTAACATATTTGTAACAAGCTTTGTTTACTAATCACTCTACTTTAGGTTTTGCTTAATGTTTTGACATCATTCTTTCTATTTCAATAGCTTGTTAGAGTCGTGACGCTTTGGCCTAAGGATAGACCAGATTATTCTGGAAGCCATGAAGAAAACACWGCACCTGTAATAAAAAGCCCTTGTATTCCAGATAATATACTGAACATCAAGAATGAGGGATGCTCAAGCAAGTCTACTAAGACAAGGTAATTAAAATGAAATCTTTGCAACTCATAGTCCCCTTACAGCTGTTTTTTTAGACAATGTAAGGTATGGGGGACAGGAGGCCTGTTACAAAAAAGCAGCTACAAGAAGACTTTATGTAATCCATTCATCAGAGCTATTTGTGATTATGATAAGATATTATTATGCCATTATTAATAATTATTATTAACAATAAAATCCTGTTTCAGTGATGTATCACTTGTTCTTAAAAGTGAATCCACGAATGAAAACCTTCAGCCATCCACTGATGGAGATCTTGTCAAGGTATTTCAAACATCAACTACATCCAGGCATTGACCAGAGCAATATAACAGCAAAGTCTTCCCTTGTTGATATCCATTATTAGGAAATATAAATGCATGCTCCAGAGRAACTATTGAAAATTACTCCCTTTCCAGCAGAAATGCTTGGTTTTCTTTCAACATTTTGTTTTGTTTTACATCACAGAGTATCTATCACGTTGATGCTGGACTTGAGATTGACTATGCATTTCCTGTAGCTGTTCAACTTCCAGTAACAATTCAAGCACCTCGCAACAAAAAGGTATCCTTTTTTGAAAAAAAAGACAACTTACAACATTAAACAAACCAACAAACATATCAATATGTATAACTATTAAAATAACACCAATATGTGTAACTTTTAGTGGAGTCCTTGCACAACTAACAGGGGAATCAATACATGCTATATATTCAGTATCGGTTTGGTGATGATGTTTTAGAAATGGCTAGGTAACAGGAATTACAATCAAACATTTCAGTCCTTATCAACAAGGCCATCAAGAAAGCCTTCCTGTCTTTACTAATAAAATGAATAAATATATTGCCAACTGAATTTCCATAATCCCCTATTTTAGTGGCACGATTGGGAACCACCTGAATGGTTTAGCTGTAATATTAACATTGTCAATGGAAGTGGACCATTTGCTGTGCCTGAACAACTACTTGGTAAGAMGTCAGCATAGCTGGTTACATCACTCTATTGTTCACATGTCATGATTTACAAAACATAGCATATTGTACATGATATTTTGAATTGGCATCAAGCAGCTAAGCTACCTGTGGTACCACATATAATTTCTCATATTAATCTTGTTATTTTCTTTGATTTTAGGGTCTAGACACTTTGCWCATGTACCAGGATTCCAAAATGACCCATTCAGCTAAGAAAAGCAACCAAATACAACTGTATCACGACTGGAAGTATCTTTAATTTTTCCAGAAAAAAAATTAATAGTTCAAGATACATATTTTGGSCAATAATAATTTTGCTTACAATGGCTATGAGTAGCTATACATCATCTAGAACACCAAGAGGACAGGTTACTGTGTTTGCATCATCAAATGAAATTGTTACCAGTAAAATTTCTTGAAAATAAATTTCAAAGCAAAGCAAATGCCCGTAATAATAACTTAAAAGTCTCACCACGGCACCTGAGCACTATCTTTCAAAATTGTGAAAAAAAATATTGTAAACCAGCAAATGTCATTAAATTTTAGTAGGAATGTTTTAATATTACTGATAGAGTTATATCAAAAATGTATTTTAGTATTAACAATAGATATAGAAAACTAGTTTTATATTTTATGAATAAACAAGCATTTAAATAAGATTTTAGTAGGAATGTTTTAATATTACTGATAGAATTATATCAAAATGTATTTTAGTATTAACAATAAATATAGAAAACTAGTTTTATATTTTATGAATAAACAAGCATTTTTAAAAATAAGAGCTTAAAGGAGAATAAACTGAGACAATCATTATAATCAATTCAAGATGCTTTATTCTCTCTATTTGATTCAATATAACTAATCGGCTAATGTGTTGACATGTATGTTGCCACCCAATTCAAATCCTGTGTGAAAACAAACTTTTGTTGCCAAGAATTCAACTGTGAAATGTTGTTTGAATTGGGTGGAAACATTTATAGCAACTAGACACATTAGTCAATTAGGTCTATTACTTGATCTAYCCTTTTGTACATGCACAACATCTTGGTTCATAAGCAATGATTCGACTACCACCYCTTGTCATGKTYAAAGTKTYACACAGGACTTYCCCTCTGYCACAGTGCAGTCTACATCTGGGAATGGAAAGAAAGGTCCAAAACTGTGRAMAAACACACTGATGTCTCTATGACAGTCCACAAAACTGCTCRCTAATCTCCCATAGTTTCCTTGCAGCACCATCATCAACACATTGTGGAGGCAGCTCTTTCATGTCGCAGTTGCTRAAGCTTTTTCCWGTTACATTTTGAAGCTTTTCCTCTGTTGCACAATATATCACAGTCTGCATTCCTTCAGTGGGGTGCTTGCCAAAGATGAAGAACAGGGGATAAAAGAACAGTTTTGTCMTCAATGGTAGCTTGACATCTCGACCAAGCTCTGTTTTGACAATTCCTGGACAAATGCTATTCACAGTCACACCTATTGTATAATTGAAAATTCATTAATAATTAATGAATTATTATGATTATTTTTATACAAATGTGACAGATATCATGACCGCCCTACACAAGTCTCTTTTGCAGCCGCTTTAGAGGATTGGAGGGCTGCTGAGGAGACTACAGTGAGCTACACTGTATCCAGTTGTAGGACACCTACCTTCAGGAAGCCTTTTGCTCAATTCATGAGTAAAGAGAAARTTAGCAAGCTTGCTCTTTGAGTAACCCGTAGGAAATCGTCGTCCAGACTTGACAGGTTCTGGACTTGGCTCTTTTCTGAAAGCATCTGCAAAGTCCAAAGCCTTGACTCTCTTTCCCAAAGAAGATGAAACAACAACAATTCTACTTGGAGCTGACTTTTTAATGAGATCAAGAAGCAAGTTAGTGAGCAAGAAATGTCCCAAGTGGTTAACTCCAAACTGCATTTCAAAACCGTCTTTAGTTTTCTTCACCGCAGGGGAGTAGACACCGGCGTTGTTGATCAAAATGTCTAGTCTCTTTTCCTCTMGAAGTATTTCACTGGCAAACTTGCGTACTGACTCCAACGAGGCCAGATCTAATTCTCGTACCACAATATCAGCAAAGTGGTACCTTGAGCGGATTTCTYTAGCTGCATTTTCGCCACGAWGTAGACTTCGACAAGCAATGATAACTCTCGCTCCTCGTCTTACCATCTCCATAGCAGTTGCCTTTCCAATGCCAGTATTTCCTCCGGTTATAAGCACAGTTTTTCCTTGTAAAGATACGTTGTTTGTGCATTTTCTTCCAACTAAGTARCGCCTTAATAACCATATACCTGCACCAAAAGCGGCCGCAACTGCAATCCCTAATTTTGTTGCACTGAMTTCCACCAAGCTGGTAGCCATCTTGGACAACTATCATTACATGGGGGGTAGGGAGGGGGTTACTTTTGTATAAGGGTATTTAAAAAGATACTCTGCGAACAGAGGTTCTTTTCTCACCCGCCGAGAAGCGAGAGAAAAATAATTTTTCTCTCGCTTCTCGGCGGGTGAGAAAAGAACCTCTGTTCGCAGAGTATTAAAAAGAGGGAAGGAAAAGGGGGAGAATTGGAGAGGGAAAGGAAAGAGATAGAAAAAGAAATAGACAAAGGAAAATAACAACTTTATTGAATTTTTTGTGTTATATATTAGTAAAGAATTTGAATTTAAACGACAAATCTGTTTATAATAGTCGTATGTAATCTTCTATATTCAAGCAGTTTGACTGTAAGCTTTGATCCAGTATTAAGGAGTCTTAAACGTCAATGAATCATATGGTTAACACTGTCCATGGCATTGGTTTTGTGGTCAGCCGGATTTGCTCTAGCTTCATATGTGCACAAAGTCACCTCGTGTCTGTGAGCTTCTTGAAAATCTCCTTTAAGTCCAATAAAATATATCTTGGACGTTTCGGCACCGAAATTCTTTGGAAAGTACATAGACAAATGATGAACGCTTGAAAAGCGTGCTATTTTGGTCGTGTATTCGAGTATTCCATCCTTGTCTTCATGAAGTTCAAAGCTCTGATCTGGTTCARCTTTWGCRTCATCAAAAGTCATAAAGGGMCGATTTTTGAACAGTTTAACTTCCGAGGGATGTTGACCTTCTTCACCTCCAATCACAACAAAAGCTTTTAGCTTTACTTGACCCGTAAATGGAATATTGAACAGGAGCTCTTCATCGACATCACTTTCGACAAACTTTTCCAAGTCCAGTCTTTGTTCCCATGGTTTGAAGACATTTTTGCCTGTATCTTCTTCAGCTTCATTCAAACACTGCAGCTTTTCTAGATCAATCTTTTGATATAAGCTAAACTGACTGCCTCTTTCCGCWGGGTCGTCATGTTGATGATCACAATGACTATGACCATGATGACCTCCACATCCCGCCATCTTGGTTCAAGGGGAGGAGGGCTGGGCACAAGCTGCGCGATTTTTATATTCATTTATCTTTTTTTTGTATTTTTCTCTTGTTTTTTCACCTTTATTCTCTATTATCATTATCTTTTTTTAAAAAATCATACAAAATCCTAGAGATAAATTTCGGTGTAAATATTTTTTAAAAAAAACTTAAAACTATAAAAAGGGGTTTGTTTCGATTCAGCGATCTTCCTATTCTAACACTGTTTTAAAGTAAAAAAAAAAAAAAAAGCTAAAAAATGTCATTTCAAGTGGTACCAATGTTCAATAAATGTCACCACAAATAAAGAAAAAATAAAGATTTTTTTATTATTATTTCGGTCTTCCTGTTTTTCTTCTAAACACAGGAAGCCCAATTCTTGATCTTATTCATCTGCTCGCAAAGCTTCTACGGTTCAAGTTCAGCAGGGAAGGTTGGTCAACAACATTCGATCTTGTTTGGCGCTGTCGCGCTTTGCGTAGCGTTTTTTTTGGCCATCATACACACTACACCTACACATTGAGGAAACACTGGGTTCGTAATATTTGGGAYARCTCCTCGTTCAGGCTTTGGTGCTGAAAGGGCTTTTAAAGTCGTGATTTGAAGAGAARATGACGAGTGGCCCGACGACTCCGGAAAGGAGCGACTCRGCCATAACCGGTATTGTATCTCGTCTTACGACTTAGTCTATTGTACAGAAAGAGCTTTATTTTCAACGTCATGTTAAATATTTTAGAATAGCATTGTATACTAGCTATATTTSAACTGTATTTTAGCGCTATATTACTTCCTAAGAAGCGCATTTCGATATTGATTTGGGGTAAGCTTTAAGCTTTATACTACATATAAAGTTTACTTGTATAAGATACTAGTTCGATTATTTTAGTTTATTGATCTCGCACATCAAAGATAATTTCATTAATTAAAATGGATTTTCAGTTAYAATTGAATGATTCTGAACAGAGTACTCCTTTCAGAAAGTTCTCTTAGTTTGACATGTAAAAATGTAAAGAATTTCATCACATAAGCACCTTTTATCACATTTTTCGGCATTTTGGTCGAACRGCGTACTTCGAATTAAAAGCACAAATATTTGTGTTATTGAAATTGGAAAGTTTTCTTCTTGAGTTTAAYATCTATTGTGAAAAACATCCATGCACAATATTTTTTTAAATCCTTATCTATTTCTATAATATTTATTTTTACTTCCTCCATTCCATGCATCATCTCAAATGATTGATGCCTATCAATCATGCTGATATGACTAACGGTATTTTACTCAATTTTCAAAAAAAGAAAGAATTATTATTGCAATTTTATCTATTTAAAGAAACAAATTACAGACCAAAATATGATGTTTTTTATGAAGAAACCATAAACATTATTTATTCATTCCTTGTGGCCAATAAGGTGTATTGCATTTCAAAACATTTCCTGCTCACAAGTGATTTTTTTATTCCCCTGTTATTTCAAGATTAATTCAAAAGAGAGATTGCCAATAAAATAATAAATGAGATATTATTTTATTTGAATCCACCAGGCGTTCCTCATGCTCGCGCGCCGATCACCTGGTATGATGTATTTGTGGAAAAAGCCTGGCTAACTTCTGCTAAAAATATAATTACCATCAGTTTTGATCAATGAAAAGACTTTTTGAGACTTCTATGATTCCAGACATTTCCAAACTTCCTATTCACAAAACAAAGGCACTACTGTATTTTGACCAACTCTTTTAAGGAAGCCTTGCAACACAATAACTTTTGCTAACTATCTTTCAAGCAATGAAAGATTTGTTTACAAAGTAAGTTATATTGAAAWACATATATTTGTAGAGCTACCATAATGATATCATTTTAGTATTATTATCATTATAAACTTCTACATGTACATGTATGAATTAATTCCTTGCTTTCATTGTGTTTTTAATTTCTGTCAATTTGTTTATAGTGATTTCATTTTATAGTTCGTCATATTGATTTCATCATATTCATGAATTGTTTTCTGTGTTTTTGTGTATAGCGTTATTTTTATTATGCAGTACCCTTTAAGAAAAAATAGTCTTGAGCACTGACTCTTTAATTAAGCAAAGCATGAAGTATAGAAATTGCAAAGGAATATTAAGTTCTTTAGTTTAAATTTCACCAATTAATATGAACATCGGTTGTGAATCCATAATATTTATTAAGCAGTGATCATTCTTTATTTAAACTTTCCATTTTTGTGCAGCTGAATCACATGATTAATTGTGAAGTTACTTATGAATATCATATTTTTTAAAGAATATCTAGTGATATCATTGAATTTATCAATTCTACAATGTTTTTCTGTTGTACATTAGCTAACATCTACAATAAAACTCAGTTGAGGTTTAGCCAAGTCATCAGGTTTCATGATCATTGATATTGACATCTGTTAAATTAAATATTAATCTCTGCATTAAATTATGATTCACAGGACTAACACCTAAAGAACAAGCCCTTCTGAGCAGTATCAGGCAAAGAAAGAATAAACTCCTTGTGGAAATTGAGGTAAAAATTCTAACATTATGTCAATTTGAATATCTACTTCATTAGAATACATTTTGTAAATTCTTGTCAAAAGCTAACACTGTCCATCTGTCATGTCATTACTCAATGTGACGTGATTATTGGAATGTATGTGGAAGTTCATGTTAGAGGGTTTGTTAGGCAATAAATTGGGATCTCTAACCCAATAMATGTCATTGTATTTTATGTACTTTTTCAATTTAGCTGTGTCTTTGCTTAGCAGTATGACTTATCCTAACAGTTAACTTGCAATGATAGATACCTGTACACCTGCAAATAAACACAGAAAATGAAAAATAGTTGAAAATGGTATCTTTTGTGAGCTGCCTTACTCTATCATGTTATAGAGAAAAGAGCTTATTTTCAAGWTTTCCTGTTAACATTCCTCTCCAACCCAGACAAATTATCATGATTATGCATGCTGAATCTTTTTCAGCTTAGATAATTATGGCAACATGCCACTGCTTTAAGCTGTGCATAGACATGATACAAGTGACTGTATTATAGTAGTGAATTCAAAATGGCTTGTAAAACTTTTGACAATGATGAAGTTGAATCCACAGTGGATGTATGTATGACATAATTCCTTTGAACTTAAAAAAAACATTGTCGATTATTCTTATTTTATAATTGTAAAAGTGTAATTATTTACCTGTGTTTTTTTAATGTTATGTTTCCTATGCAGTTGTTTCATTTTTAATCAGTCGGATAATTTTATTTTTTTCTCGTTCTTATCAAAATTTGAATTCCAAAACATATTAACTTTTAGATGGAGTTCTATGATAATTATGATTAAATTTGTTGATGCTTTTTTCTTTCAAATGGCAGCCATTTTCCAGTTCACAAAATAATGTAATAATGACATTAATTTGTTACAAGTGTATTTTACTTATTGTATCAACATAATATTGTTATCACTATACGATAATTATCACATAGTGCACATTGCTTTGTGATGCAATTAGATTCCAACTGTGTTTTGGATATTTTTTTGTGTGGATGAGAATGGAAACATGCCATGTGTTCCTGGTACTGGTGGTGAATGATATCATTGYTCAAATGACCCGTTATTAGAACAAGAAGTAAACTCAATATTTAAAAGTACACTGCATTATTATGTACATAGAATATTATGCATTGTCAACATTATGTAGTATATATGGCTGACTTTTATTTTAATTTTTCTTTAAAAAGAATCAGCATTATAATTTGCTAAAGGAACATGCTCTCACAGTGATGTTTTACAAATTATATCCAAATAAAACCTTCTAATTTTTAGTTTAAGTTCAGGCATCTTTTATTCAATGAATGTCATCTAAGAAGGAAATGATCTCAAAGCAATTTTTGTGCTTTGTTTTGTTTCAGTGCCTCAAATAGTTTCTTCAAAAACACATCAAAAAAACAATAAAACACTTGAAATGGAGCTGAATGCTTTCATTTAGTTATCTTTATTTAGATGAAAGATGATATTWATAGTTTTTGTTTTTAACATTTTCTATAACATTATTTTTTAGCAACTGAAATCAGAGATAGCTCAAGTCACCAATGAACTGGATACATTAGATCAG